GTTCTTAATTAATTAGAAAACTTGATTTATCATATATTTAGCACCCACATATTTCATAGTTGTTGATAATGATGATGATTTTGAAGACTATGGAACAAACCTATTGGGATAAAAATGCTTTGAGATGTCTACCAGAAAATATATTCATAGTATTCCACTCTGTTAATTTGCTATCTCTCTTATTATTCTATACTGTTTCAGATATATAATGTGTTTCCCAAGTTGGGATTCCTTTTGGATGAAAGAAAAAAAATAATGAAAAACCGAAAAGAGTTCCATGAGTTCATACAGGCCACATTCCTTGAAAATCTCAAAGAGTTTGATGAAAATAATCAGAGGACATTTATTGATGCATTTCTTGTTCGGCAGAAAAAGGTAATAAAGCATATCAAGTATGCAAGGAATTGTAGCTGATGTTTTTTCTTTCACATGTTTTAAAAATATTCTGGCTGGTACAACAATACATGCAGCTGGGGAAAATCCTTGCTTTAGAAATGTCCAGGAAAACAGTTCCCTGGAGTGAAAGCAAGGCTTGAGTATAGTTTGGAATTTGTGTAATCTCATTCTCAGGTTCTGTGGGGATATAAACTTGAAACAAAAATAATAAAAATTAATAACCTACACCAACCAAGACACTATTAAACAGCTAAGGCTGGTTAAAAAGGTGATCATGTTTAAAAAAAATTGAAACAACATTAAAGACCCCCTCCAAGATATAAGATTTCTCATTCTTTGGTAGCTCCACCTCTTCCTGAATTCTTGAAAGGTTTCTCTTAGCAAGACTTCTTGCAGCATTCTTGATGGCCAACAGATTCATTCCTTGTGTTATGTCTTTATTCCTTGCATAACTGTTAAAGCTACTACAATAACTAGAATTTTTCCCTGTAAAAAGTAACACTTTTGTTGTTTTTTTAGCAGTTGAGTGAAGCTATCACATCCGGGTCTCGCTTAACAGCCACTTTTCTCAATGTCTAATTATGGTCATTAGTCAAGGATTACCTTTAGTACGAAAATCCATGGAAAAGTGAAGGTGAGCTCTGAAATCTGAAATGTTTCTTCTTCATGTGAGTTAAAATTAGATCACTCTTCATGAAAGAAAGCATTGACTAAGCATTGAGAAGAAGTGATAGAGAGAGGTGGGGAAAGTTAATCACAATTTTTCTCCATACTCATTCCTGGTTCTTCCATTGTCACCATTCACTGAAAATCAACATGCAACAGTTACTCAGTCTATGCGCTTCCATACACAGCCATGGTAGAAGGATGTCCTGAGTTCATGTATTCTGATATATATTTCTGCTCTTTCTGTGGCAATTAATCCTAATTTTAATACCCCTGCATACATTGATAAATGCCAATCTACAAGATCAAGCTGTCTTCATTTAGATCAAGTTCCTTTCCCATTTTCTCTTAAATTCCAAAACAGGAAACATTTAAATTTTTCTTTATTTCAATTCATTTAGTAATTCATAGTCTTTACCATATGTTTCTCATTATCACAAGTTTTAANAATGCTCCTGGTGGCTGGGCGTGGGGGCAAAAATGAGCAAAACCAGACCATTTTTCAGTTGTTATTGCCCTTCCCAGCCCCCGGGAGCACTTTGCAGCCCTCCCAAACCCTCTGTACGTCCATTTTTGTGAAGGAGGCGGGGTTTTAGGAGACCCAAAATGCTGCATTCAGTGTATAAGATGCACCCAGATTTTCACCTTTGGGGGGGGGGGAAGGTGCATCTTATACTCTGAAAAATATGGTAGTTGAGGATTAAATGAAACCTCTGCATCTTTTTCTGGGTTCATGTGCCCATCCTTTACAGCTACTGCAACATCCTTGCAAAACATGGGATGCTAAATGATGCTCTGTGCATACGCATGGGAACTCTGAATCATATTCACAAGAATAGGGGTCAACCTATTTTCTAAAGCTCCTGAAGGCAGAACAAGAAGCAATGGATTGAAATTATTCGAGGAGAGAACCAGCCTAGAAATAAGGAGAACTTTCCTGACAGAATAATTAATTTGTTGAACAGCTTGCCTTCAGAGTTGTGAGTGCTCTGTCACTGGAGGTTTTTAAGGCAAGACTGGACCATGATTTGTCTGAAATAATATAGTGTCTCCTGCTTGAGCAGGGAGTTGAAGTAGGAGATCTCCAAGTTCCCTACTAACTCTGTTAGACGGGCACAGAACAAGTCACCCTGGGCAACTAGACATGGAGCCAACTCAGCGCCATGGAAGAACAAAAATCACCTGGAGACACACTGGCAAATAGGAAGCAGGGAAGCGGCAAAATTTGAAAGGCAAAGGGTAGATTCAGTGATGGGATTCAGCCGGTTCACACTGGTTCAACTGAACTGATAGCTAACTTTTTGTGCCGTTCGGCAAACCGACTGAAAATAAAGTACAAGAGAGGTATTTTTCCTTCTGTCACTTCAGTTAATACAGAACCGTGGTGGCACAGTGGTTAGAGTGCAGGACTGCAGGCTACATCTGCTGATCACTGGCTGCCTGCAATTTGGCAGCTCGAATCCCACCAGGCTCAAGGTTGACTCAGCCTTCCATACCTCCGAGGTGGGTAAAATAAGGACCCAGATTGTTGGTGGCAAGAGGCTGACTCTGTAAACCACTTAAAGAGGGCTGTAAAGCACTATGAATCGGTATATAAATCTAAATGCTATTGCTATTGCTATCTCCGGGCAGACAGCCAAGAACCAATTAGCAGGTGAATATTTAGTTGCGATAAGAAAATTGCAGGAATGCAGCTGGCATACGCTTTGAATAAACAATAGAAACTGACAGGATTAGGACAGGGAAACACCCAGGAAACCCATTAACCTCTTTCCTTCAGGAAGATGGATAAGATTACAAACATTTTCATTATAAATGGTATTAAGTAACACTTCTGTGATCAGTTGATACTCCAAGGCGTTCCCCAAGGCCTTTTAGAGCTGCTGCAATGTTGGCTATTTCTTGCTTCTTCCGGGGGGGGGAAGATACAAGATACAATGATGTAGCTTGATCATACAGATCCTGCATTTAAAGCAAAGTAGCAATACCAGCTGTATTGCTTCTGCTGTGAAGCCAGGGGTGGGTTTCAGGAGGTTTGCGGCGGTCCCCGCAAACCGGTTGGTCGGCGAACCCGGAAGTAAGTAACTTCCGGGAACGCCAAAGGGTCCACCCGCCCGCATACAGCGCCTGCGCGATCCTCCAGGAGCAGCTGGAGCATCGCACAGACGCTAGTACTCATGCGTGCACTGCGCGCGTGCGCAAGGACGCCGCCGGCCCCGTTCCAACCGAACCAGTTGGAACGGGGCGAGAAACCCACCCCTGTGTGAAGCACTCAATTTAGACATAGAGAACATAGAATAATAGAGTTGGAAGGGACCTCAGAGGTCTTCTAGTCCAGCTCCCTGCTCGAGCAGGAGACTCTATATCATTTCAGACAAATAGTTGTCCCGTCTGTTTTTGAAAGCCTCTATGTGATGGAGGACCCACAACTTCTGAAGGAAAGCCATTCCATTGGTTGATCCTTAGGAAATTTCTCCTTAGTCCTAGGACCTAGGTTGCTTCTCTCTTTGGTTAGTTTCCATCCATTGTTTCTTGTGCCCTTTGGTGCTTTGGAAAATAGATTTACCCCCCTCATCTTCATAGGAGCCCCTCAAATATTGGAAAAGTGCTATTTCATTGTGCTATTTTATTGTGAGTTGTGAGTGCTATTTTATTGTCAATTGGGGAGGTGTTTGGCAAAATTAAACAGGAAAAAAAGGGGCATGGTTGAATTTGCTTTTTAAATCTTGTCAGCACTTATCTAGATAAAAAGTGAGAGATCATTAAAAAGATCTGCAATCCTGTAGAGCAGGGGCAATATTTGCACTGTCAGTTTGAAACAATCTCAAAATTTCCAATGGGGAAGTGCACATAAAAGAGGCATGGATGACTTTCCTACCTTTTTGTACGCTGTGCCAGTTTGATCTCAGCTCTCTTCTTCCTGAAATCCTCGGTTTTTTGCATCCTGGTGCCTCCACCTTTCTGTCTTAATGTAGCTGCTTAGTGATTTCTGCTGCCATTGCCTGTCAGTCACATGGATGTGTTTACCTGATGCTTTCCCACATAACCCTGGCATGTGAGGCAGATAAGAATGTCACAGGCTATGCCATCATTGAAGAATAAACCAAAAAGTAGAGGAAAATAAGGTGGATAAAAACGAAATAAATGCAGTAGTATAAGGCATGTGGCAAGGCAGTCGGCACTCCTTCTCCTTTAGAAGGCCATCATTCTCACAAATAATTTATTTATTTTGTTAGATGTTTATCCTGTCTTTATTGTTTTATAAGGAACTCAAGGTGGAGAACTTATCTAATATTCCTTCCTCTCTTAGTTTCCCCACAACCACAATCTAAGAAGTGGTTTAGTTTGGGCTGGGAGAGAGTGACTGGTCACTCAGCCATTTTTTCAAGCCTAAAATGGGACTAGAACTCATGAGTCTCTTGGTTTCTAGGCCAGCACCTTAACCACTACTTTGTTTAAAAAGGAGGAAGGAATGTCAAAATAATTTGTAAGAACTGCATTCGAAAACAGGGCCGCAGGAAACAAACTTGTAAATCTGCAAACATCACAGACTACACTTCAGAAT